AGGCATGATGGGAGAGGACTAAAGGGAAGGAGGAGGTAGGAGGGTGGTACCCTGCCATCTTCAAGGAGTCTTGATGGACGGGGAAGCAGAGAAGGGCAGCAGTGGCTGGAGGTGGGAATGCAGGAGATACTAGCACACACAGTATGTGCAGGAGATATTTCATATGTATTGTTTTCTCCATCATTACCAATTGTCTTTGGTTTTGATTATAATATATTCTGCCACTACAGAGGTTAAAGACTTTAACTATTTTCTTTGTGATTTCTAGATTTCCTGTCTTGCTTAAAGGCCTTTTCTATTTTAAGATTACACAAATATTCTTCTTCTTTTTTTTTTTTTTGGCGGAACTGGGGATTGAACTCAGGCCCTTGCGCTTACCAGAGAAGTGCTTATTCCACTGAGCCATCTCCCAGACCCTACACAAATATTCTTAATTCTTTTCAATATTTGTATATATTTACATGTAGATTATATATATGTATATGTCTAATTTTGATATATGTACTGTCAAAGGGAACACAAAAATCTTATTGTTTTCCTCCATGTATATAAGTCAACTGGGGTAATAATGTATTAACTAATCCATTTGGGTCAGGTGTGATGGTGTGCGCCTACAGTCCCAACTACTTGGGAGACTGAGACAAGAAGATAGGTTAAGTCCAAGAATTGGAGAATAGTTAATTTGTTTACCACTGAATTAATATGTTTATTGGGCCTGGCAAGATAGCTCAGCAGTGTAAAGCGCCTGCATAGGCAAACTTAGGCAAGTGCGTAGGGACTGCAGTTGGATCCCAGCACCACAAGCCATGCTAGCCCTGCAAGATGTAGTCATTGTCATTCAAATAGACACCAAGACAGGTACATTCATTGTCATCAGTAATATTCAACATTGTGGTGGGGAGATGGCTCAGTGGAATAAGCGCTTCCCTGGCAAGTGCAAGGGCCTGAGTTTAAATAAATAAATAAATAAATAAATAAATAAATAAATTCAACATTGTTTTTGAAGAATTTTGCTAGTATAATAAGCTAAGAACAAAATCCAACTTCTATATATCTTATAGAAAATTATTTTTATTTTCAGATACTGTAATGCATCCTGCTGGGGAGATAGCTCAGTGGCTTAAGCACTTACTTGACAAGTGCAAGGTCCCAAGTTCGATCCCTTGTTAAAAAACAAAACATGGGTGGGGCAGATAGCTCAGTGGAATAAGCGCTTCTCTGGCAAGTACAAGGGTCTGAGTTCAGTCCCTGGTTCAAAAAAAAAAAATTCCTGTGATGCATCCTTAGGAAATCCAAAAGCCTCAACTAGAAAATCATTGGTTGTGATTATAAGATGAATATATTGTAATCTGTAACAATAAATGTAGACATAATTAGAATTGAAGAGAGAGCCCATTGTTGACAATAAAAACAACCCAGGCAAAAATTAATGAAAAGTACATAACATATATGAAGAAAATTATAATGTGTACCAAAAGTGACAATCTGAGTAAATTAAAAATGATCTATTCCATAAAGGCAATCTTAATAGAATAAAACTTTCCTCCACCAATAATAGGTATATTTAAAACATTCCACTGGGATTGCCAATGGGCTACTTTTAGAATTGGCCCTATTTTAAAGTCTGTATTGATAAGTAAATATACAAGAACTTCTGGGAACATTTTGAATGAAAAAACAATAAGATTGCCCTGCCACATATTAAAACTTACTGTATATGTATTGTAATGTGTTTGATACAAACATATTTAGGTATTTGTTCAAGTAAAACAGCACAGGGGCTGGCGAGATAGCTCAGTGGACTAAGAGGCTAGACAAGAGCACTACCACTGGCTCAGCTATACCCTAGCTCTCCTATAGTTTTTGTTTGTTTGTTTGTTTTATTTTGTTTTGTTTATTTTATGTAGTACTGGGGATCTAATTCAAGGCCGTTGTTCTGAGATACATCCCTAACTCCTTTCTACTTTTAAAATTTTTCTTTCTTTCTTCTTTCTTTCTTTCTTTTTTAACAATAGCAAGGTTTACTATTGAACCCCAAGTGCAGGGGCTGGGGTTCAATCCCTGGCACTATATGCCACACCCCCCCTCTTGCACTGAGCTGGCCATGGAGTCTGGGCATGGTGGTGCACGCCTGTAATTCCAGCATTAGGGAGGCTAAAAACAGGAGCATTACTATGAGTCCGAGCTGTACAGTGAGACCCTGCACGAAAAAAAAAAAATAATAAAACAACACAGAGTCCAGAGACATACCAATGAATGTGAAGCACATCATATTGTTAAAGCAGCATTTTGACCCAGTATGGTAGCACAAACCTGTAATCCTAGCAGCACTCAGAAAGCTGAGGCAGGAGGCTCACCATGAGTTTGAAGTCAGCCTAGGCTGCTACATGGTAAATTCAAGACCAGCCTGGACTACAGAGCAAGACCCTGTCTCAAAAAATAAATAAATAAATAAATAAGCATTTTATTATTTTAATTTAATTACTTTATTTTTGTGGCCTGCTCAACCCACCCTGGGGGTTGCTTTATTTTTGTAGTACTAGAGATCTAATTCAGGGCCTTTGTTCTGAGCTACATCCCTAACTCTTTTTTATTTAAATTTGTTTTCCTTTTTTTTTTTTTTTAAACAGTAACAAGGTTTAATTGAAAAAGTATAAGTGAAGGGTAAAGGAAAAATTGGCTCTGTAGCTTGAGCTTGGGCTGAAGAAAAGAGAAAAAAGACAGATGAAGGCGCATGCTGGAGGACACAGCTATGGAATAAAACCTCTACAAACCGTGAGCCAGATAAGCCTTTCTGCCTTTAATTTTGGGCTTTTAACATTATACCGGCATAGAGGAAATCACTCAGCTACGATGTGGGATTTGGAGAAGCAACTGTAAAATAACCATGATTCCCCACCCAAGAGCTGCAAAATGCTGTTCCACGGTACCATCAACCTTTGTGGAACTGCAGACACCGTATTCAATCCACTGGCTAAACGGAGGTGGTCAGAGCCAGTGCCGATCATTTTTTAAACAAAAGTGTAATTGAATGAGACAACTTGAGATTTGACATACCACTGAAGTAACACAGCAGTGCAGGGGTTTGAACTTCGACCCCCTGTGCCTGCCTAAGTAGGTGCATTAGACCACTGAGCTATCTTGCTGGCCCCTCCTTTGATTCTGATAAAAGGCCAGAAGGTTTAAGCAAGGTACCCAGTTGCCCAGCTGCAGTTATCTCCTAACTAATTGGCAGGATAGTACCTTAACCAATACAAAAGCTTTCACTCAGTCAGCCCCAACTTTATTGAGTTGTGCCTTAGGTTCCTATCTTACTCCTCAAAAAATTCTCTAGCGTCTACTTGTTTTTATAATAAAATTAAGTCACATCAATTTTCTTTTAAAAGAAGCAAGAGAGGGCCAGCCAGACAGCTCAGAGGGGAGTGGGGGAGGGGGGAGCACACACTCGCTATGCCGGCCCTGCCCCCAGGGTGCACTGAGACAGCAAATGAGAGTGGGAGTGGTGGAGTGCCCCTGTAATCCCAACGCTTGGGAGGCTGAAAACAGGAGGATCACTATGTCTTACCTGTGTAGTGAGACCCTGTACTAAATACATAAAAATAAATAAATGGAAGCACTAATGATATATGTACATTGCATATCAAATAATTAGCTGATGTACCTACCACCTAAAATAGTGTATCTAAAATAGTGTACCAAAAGCCAGCCATGGTGATGCACACCTGTAATCCCAGTATTTGGGAAGCTGAGACAGGAGGATTTTCATGAATTTGAGGACAGACAGGACTATATAGTAAGAACTTGTCTCAAAAAATATGTAATAATAACTTTTAAAATAAATGAAAGTTTACCAACAAATCAAAGTTGTATGTTTGTAGAGGGGTGGATGAAACAATGATACATGTACTTTAAAATAAGGTGCACTCCTTTTTTAAAAATCTTTTTGAGATAGGGTCTTGCTATGCAGTTCAGGGTGGCTCTGAGCTCACTTTGTAGCCCAGGCTGGCCTCAAACTCAAACAATCCTCTCGCCTTAGCCTTCAAGTACTGGGACTACAGGCATGCATCACCATGCCTGGCCTAAAGTGTATTCCTTTAAGCAAGATTTTTTTTTTTTTTTTTTTTTTGAGGAACCGGGGATGAATTTAGTTAGGCCCTTGTGCTTGCCAGGCAAGCACTTATTCTACTGAGCCATCTCCCCAGCCCTTAAACAAGAATTAGAAACATCTTTATCTATTGTAAACATACATTAATAAAAATAAATTTATAGGGCCAGCAGGATAGCTCAGCAGACTAAGCACCTGCTTAGGCAAGTGCAGGGACTGGGGTTCGATCCTGGGCACCACATGCCATACCAGCCCCACCCCTGGGCGTGCTGAGCCACCACCGAGACCGGGTAAGGAGGTGCACGCCTGTAATCCCAGCACAGGAGTCTGAAAACAGAAGGATCACTGTGAGTTGAAGCTGCATGGTGAGATCCTGTACCAAATACCTTAAAAAAAAAAGTACATAGTTTCTTTCAAGGAACTGACCTGTAATATCTTAGTTGTGTACTGACTTATAGTTTACAAAGATTTCCATACATAGGATCTCATTTAATTATTACAAAAACTCTGGGAGTTAAATAGAGCAGGTATCGTGGTCTCATTGTTGACAAATGCATGAAGCTTGCCCAAATTTTACTACCATGGGTCATGCAGTTAGTGAATGCCTGGGATGTTTTAGAATTCATACCTTGATAGAGAATGATAGTTTTCACTCTAGTAAAAACAGAGCCTGACAGGTTAGCACAGAGCGCGAGCTCACTGGCAATTTCCTGAATGCATGCACACATCTGGTAAGGCTATGGCAGAGTTCCTTCTCTCTGCTCATATCAGTTCATATCCTCAAAACAAACTTAACAGCAGAAACCAGTGGATGAGGAGGCAGTCTGGGAGGCCAAGGATAAGAGAAGGGTTGGGGACTGTTCCCTGGAGAACTAGGAAATGTAAGACAGAGACAGCTGCTTCTGGAAAGGTCAGTGTTTATTAAACATTTAAGGACATTTGGAGGTTTGAGAAGAAATATACAGAATGTAGAAAAATTCCTAAGAATCCCCTGTGGCTAGGAGTGCAGTCTCTTCCTTTGCCCCTTATTTCTCATTTGTTTTTCCTGCCTTCTGTTTGGTTGTTTAAAGCCATTTTTTGGAGGCTTATTTGCCCTCTGCTTCACCCTGGATCTGTGAGGATCCATTGCTTCTCTCTTTTCTCAGGATCTTGAGTTTCAGAACTGCACTCCAGTGGTGGGTGGGTGGGAGGGTGGGGCATCCAACTTGCAGCTGAGGGCTGAGGGTGGGGGGCTCTTGTTTTGGGATTGGCTCTCCATGAAGGACTTTATAGGAGGGAGACTGCAAAAGCCACATGACGTCATTGGTCCTCAGTCATGGGGGTCAGGGCAGAGCATGGGCACAGGTACACAAACAAACAAAGAATGGATTAAAAAATAAAAAATAATCAATAACCTAAATAAACCCTGAAAGAGAGTATGATCTGTGTGACCTGGGTGTTAGTGGGAACATAAATGCACAGTTGGGCCACCTGATGGAGGGGGAGAGTAGGGGAGGGGAGGAGAGGGGAAGAGGGGGGAGGGGAGGGAAGGGGAGGGGTGGAGCCAGAGGGGTCAGGCTGTGGTGCAAGGGATGGGAAGGCCAGGTGGCCTGCAGTTCAGACAACGGCTGTCAAGGTCCCTTTCTTCTTGGTGCCAGAGAGACAGGCACCAAACACGCAGTCCTTTGGGCAGGTACAGGGTACGATTAGCTCTGGGCTCCTAGAAACCCAGGGTGTGAAATGGGGGAGAATACAAGTGCTTGGGAATGAATTTTGGAATGAAACTTACATCTCAAAGGAAGTGAGGGCAGGGCAGGGGCTGTGGAGCAAGGGAGGAAAGCACCTAGACGGGGGATGAGAGGAGCCTAGGTCCCCCTGCTCTGGCAGGGCCTGGGGCTGGTGATCACTTGTCCGAGTCCAGGCCCATCATGTTTTTGAGGGCGTTCTTGAGGCTGGTTTTGCTGGGGGACTTGACAGCAGGCCGGAGCTCCGAGCTCTGCTCATCCTTCCGTAGCTCCATCTCGATGACCACCACCTGAGCGCCTTTGGAGGGCTCCGCCCCTGACCCCCGACCCCCTGCCCGGCCCGCTAACCGCTATTTCTTATCCTTGCGAGAATCCCCAAGCCCTTTGGACTTCTTCTCGCTGGCAGCTTTGGTGCTTCTGCTGTGGTCCAGCATGGCGTACAGCACGGGCGTCTGAGGGGAGGAGTGCACACCTCAGGCCTCGGCTTGGTGGGGATCCCGGGTTCCCGGCCCGCCCTTCGCTGCGGCCCGCAGGCTCCCCGGGTTCTTCCCAGCTCGTCCCCAAGTCCTGCTAACCTGCCGCCCACGCTTCGACGAGTCCTTTGCAGACTTGTGCAACTTGCCCTTCTCCATGGCACTGCGCGACAAAGGGACGCCGTGAGTCTAGCCTCTCCAGATCCACCGCCCCTCGGACGTTTCTTCCGGGTGACTTTGTCCCTCCCACCACCCATTGGAGCAGTCTCCACCCTGGTGGGGGGGTAAGGACGGAGGGTGGGGAGTCAGGCTCCGCCCCTTACCTGAGCCGCCTCTGCAGGGCCGCCTGCCTGCGCAGCCAGCAGTACCGGACCAGGTAGAAAAGCAGCAGCAGCAACAGCACCACCCCGAGGACGCCCCCGATCACGGCTCCCAGCACCACTCCGTACCTGGTCGGCACTAGCAGGGGAGGAGGAGTGGGAGGGATGAGCAGGGACCTGCGCCGCGGTTAGGGCAGTAGGAGTGCGTGCAAGGCTGCCTTCGGCCTAGCCCCCTCACCCCACCCTAACATCCTCGGGCTGGGCTTTCTCTCTTCCCCCAGCCTGTTGACCCGCCCCGAACTGCTTCCCGGGTTCCCCAGTACCCTGCTGCTTCTCACACCTTTTTCAAAGACATAGAGCGTGACCTGAGAGGTCTTGCCCACTATGTCTGGCGGGTTTTTGACATCACATGTGAAAGTGCCATTGTCACTGTAGTCTAGGTTGTGTATGACAATGGAGCCATCCTTCCATCGAGGATCCCCGACCCACTGGATGCGCTCTTTGAAGGCCCCCACCTCGTCAATGTATGGCTGTCCTTTGGCATAGTGGAAGATCTGTGAGGAAGAGGGAAAGCAGTTGAAGTCAGGGATCTGGCCTCAGGGTAAGGGTTCCTGGCGTGGTGAGGTGGGGCTGGGGAGACAGGTTCTAGTCAGTGTGACAAAGATTGCTACTTAACTTGCCAGAGTTGGGGGTTATGGCTCTTGAAGAATTTGCCCATCTTTAGCCCAAATTCTCTTTTCTATTCTTGGAGGCACTTTTCTGTCATCAAACCCCAGGATTCCCATAGGCACTCACCGAAATGGCATCTCGGCCCCCTTCAGGCTGGTAACGCCAGGTGAAAGAGATGTCATCTGAGACCCACTCACTGGACCAGAAGGAGCAGTGCAGGGTCACCTGGGATCCCACAGCACCATGGACCTCCCTGTCCGTGTAAACCACAATGGCCCGGGCTGGGGACAGCACTGCAAGTACAGAGGGGCAATCAGACATCCACGTGGGCCAAGGCAGGGCTTTGGAGGGTGAGAGATCAACAGTCAGGTGAGGCTCAGTCCCCAGCTGGAGCTCATAGTGAAGACAACTGGTTCTGAGGCCCACCTCTCGGGGCCAACTGAGTGGATGAGGGCAAGTGCTGTGCCTGCCTGTCCAAGGTCTCACCCTGTGTGGAGGGGAATGACATCAGCAGTACCAGGTACTCCTGCAGACTTCCAGAGCTTGGGTCATCTCCAAGTCTCACTTTCTTTGAGCGATCATCTAGCCCTTAAGCGATCCCTTAGATGAAGCATTTTTAAATTTTATAAATTATTCAGGTAATATATATCAAATTCTTCTTATGTACTATTCAAGCAATAAAGATAAAGCTTAAGTCTCTTATGACACTCATACCCCAGCCAATTTGTTTCCTGTAGTCCCCTCCTACATAGAACCACAGTTACCAATTTAATATATGATTTTCTTTTGTCTCAGAATCAACATAAACTTAATAAAGTCAAGATATACTTGTACTTAAAACAAATGGGTAGTCTTTAGAGCCATTTAAAAAATATACAATGCATTATATTCTACTTTAAAATTTTTTTCTTTTGGCTTAAGAACATGTATGATACATCTGTCTTATTTTTAATGGTTGTATAGTACTTCACAGCAAGCAAACTCAGATTTCTTACAGAAAAGAAATGAAGATAACTAGAGAACATATATCTTCTTCCCTTACACAGCTGTCCTGGCTGTTGAATACCTGTTTGCTAGACTGCTTGCTCTTGCTGGGAGATCCAGGGTAGGAAGAATCTTATCCCCTGTCAGGGGAATTTGGGTGCAGAGCAAGAGCCCCAGCCTACAGCTCAGATCATGATGCATGGGAGCCATTCTCACCCTCCTCTCAGCTGTTCTGTCCATGCCCAAGACACACCCACACTCACAAGGAAGGCCATTCCTGGGAGACTGTGTGTGGGCTGGCCCTGGATGGGGGCAACTGTAGGCCCTTTTGTTCTACAGAGCAGAAGGCACCCAAACAAAATCCCATTGTCTGAGCAACACTGGGGGCTCATGCCAACCCTGCCCGCACTCCCACTGCCCCGAGTCTCCCACCTCAGCATGAGATATCATTTATTCACCTCCTGGGCCTTCGACCTTACTGCCTTCTTGGGACTCTCCCCTTCCCCTACATGCTGAGGGATGTTATTCAGGGGATCCAACATCCTTCTATTCCTCCTGTCATGATAACAGCCACTGCCCTTCTCAGCTTTGCTAAGTGGTTCTAAGAGTGGGCCAGGTATTGAGATAGAACTGTCTCCTCCTTATATGCCAAGATGCCTACCCCTATCCTTAACATTTTCTTGGGGTGTCCCAGAATAGCCCAATATAGCCCCAAACTGTGTAGGTTCTGGGTTGTGACTCAAGTTGCTGACAGTGAGAATCTTACGTTCCCTGACCAGTCCCCCTCCCCTTCCAATCCTCCACTCCCACACCCACTTGCCTACTGCTCACCCATTGGCACACTAGAAGGCAGGGCAGCTTGGCAGAGGAAAGGACCTATTCAGCTAACCCTGCTTTGGCCTTCTCTTGCTCACCCAGCATCTGCCAGAGGGCAAGGAAGTTAAGCCATTCCGTGGATGGAACAAGATAGCTTTTACAAGACAAGATCCTGGAATCTCACAGAACCTCCTTTCATTTCCATTCATCCACATAGTAAGCACCAAGAAGTAAAGAGTCTGGGGGAGCTAAGCCCACCAAACTTGGGCTCCCTCCTTCTGTCATACTCCTTGACTTTTCTGGGAAATTGAGGTTGGATTCCTCCTACGCTATTTAGGGTTCAGTGGAGAGCAGAACTTGGTGTCTGATGCTCCTCTGCCCCATGTTCTCACCCTACTTTCTGCTGGCTTTTGGCATGACCTTGAGGGCATCGCCCTGGCTTCCCATAATGCTCCAGCCATGCCCACTCAGGGAAGCTCTCTTTCACCACCTTGCTTCACACAGCACCTTTCCCCCTTCTTTCCAAGTGACTTCTTTTCCCCTGGATGAACAATGCCTTACTGCTCTTGTATACTGGATCTTGGCCGTGAGGAGGGCAATGAAGCACCTGAGAAACAGGGTTCCCAGGCTGCAGTGGCTCCACTTACCCAAGGAAGAGAAGAGCAGCACAGCCAAGACAGGGCTGGGGCTTTTCCAGGGGACCCCAGGAGCCATAGCTGGGGCAGGGGCCGGGGCCCGGAGCATCTGTGGGGTCGAGAGAGTGGGGGACAAGGAACTGAGCGGGAGGTTCCTGGAACCTCCTTAAAATCCCCTGGGGCATCAGTATGAGGGGGCTGTCCTGAGCCAGTAACCAATTACAGCCTGGCATGTGCAGTTGAGAGGTGGTGGGGAGCACAGCAGAGTGCAGGGAGCAGAAGGGGCATTGTATACTCTGGGTGGAGGGGTGGGGGGACAAATACCACCCCATACACAGAGGGCTTTGTGTCTGCTGGCCTCCCCCTGCCCTAGGCTGGAATGTTGGGGGGTGGTAAAGAAAAGGGACAGAAACAGGGACACAGACACACTTCTCTGAGGGACAGATAGGCAGAGAAATCTAAATCCATGGAAAGAGATTCTGCCCTAGACTCCTTACCTCTGAGGGACTCCCCCAGAGCGCTAGCAGGTTTATGCTGCAGAACCCTGGAAATAGATCATTCCCTGTTGGCTTGATTACAATGAGCTGCGGTACAGACTTCTTAAGACAACTGGGTCTATTGGAACTCTCCCTCCATCTTCCCGCATCCTGGGAGGTTCTTCCAAGACGGAAGTTTTTCTCCACTAGAAAAATTTAGGAAAGAAACCCTAGAACTTTCCCTCTTTGTTAGGAAGTCCTCCAATGGCTCATGCTGCAGTTTTAAGTTCATTGCAGTTTGGACCAAAGCAACAAAATTGTGTTGCACATCAGCTATATCTCAAGTGTGGGAATGCAAGTAATAGAATAAAAGAAAAGTCCTTCCTGAAAGTTCAAAACTAGTTGGAGAAGGTAGAGGGGAGAAATCAAATGATAAACCCATCAGCAACCCGCCTATAATAAACTATGATGCTTGCTTTAGTAATGAACAAAATGTTGGGAGTACAACAGAGGATGACTCAAGAAGTTTAATTTACATGAGAGATCAAGAAAAAAAAACCCTTTCATTTAATAAATGAAGTTCAGGGCCAAAGTGAGTGTAGTTCAGTGGTAGAGTTTGCCCAGTATGTGCAGAGCCCTGGTACTGCAAAAGAAAAAAAAAAAAAAAAACTCTAGTAAATGAAGTACAGAAGAATGGGTAGTCATGTCTAGAAAGCAGTGTTAGATATGGTCCAACATTAAAGGATTTGTGACATTTTGGAAAGAATGATTGGGTACAGGGGGTGACAGATAAAAGAAATAGGAAGAATGAAGAGGAAAGAATATTTGAGTGTGTGTGCATCCATACAGATACTCAGTAGGCACTGGGCATATTTAGGGCAGCTTTTGTGCTATCCAATTTGATTTGATTTCAGGAAACTTGAAGAGGCATAGGTGGAAACAAATCTGAATAGAATAGTTGAGGCCAGTTTTTTTTCTTGAGCATTTTTATTAATGTGTTTTGAATTTTATCAAGTACTTAATTTACATCAGTTTACATAATGAGTTTTTCTCCTTAAATTACAGATATGCTGAATTAAATACACTTTGCAACATTCAAACTATTCTTACACATATTGTAGAATAAATTTAGTTATGATGTATTTTTTTAATTCCTTACTAAATTGAATTTGCTTTTTTTTTTTTTTGGAGAGGTAGAAGTTTAATATTTGCTTTAGAACTTCTGCATCTTTCCTAAGAGTTATTGTCCTATTTCTTATTATATCCTTAGACCTTGTGCACGAGCTCCTAGTGCTGCTGTAGCGAATTACCACAACTTGCTCACTTAAAGCAACAGGTGTTTATTCTTTCATAATTGTGGAGACAGAAAGTTCAATATCAAAGTGGGTCCTGTAGAGCCGGCCAGATAGCTCAGTGGACTAAAGCACCTGTTTAGGCCGTGCTGGCCCTGCCCCAGGCGTGCTGGGACTTCGATTGAGACATGGTGGCACGTGCCTGTAATCCCAGTGCTTGTCAGGCTGAAAACAGGAGGATCACTACGAGTTTGATCTGTGTAGTGAGACACTGTAGACCCTGTACTAAACACATTAAAAAAATTTTTTTTCAAACCAAAATGGGTCCTGTTCCCTTTGAAGGCTTTAAGGAGGATTTCTTGGGCCAAGGATATAGCTCAGCTGCACAGTGCCTACCTGGCAAGCATGAGGTCGTGAGTTTGATTCACAGTACCAAAAAAGAAAAGGAATCTTTTGCTTTTCATAGCGCTTGTCAGTTGCTGGTAATCTCTGCCTTCCTTGACAAATAGTTGTATCACTCCAGTTTCTCCCTGTGTATTTCTTCTATATTTGTGTGTCCAGATTTTCTCTTCCTCTAGAGGCCAGTTTGTATGGGGCCTTCAATTACAGATGAAAGAGAGTGGATTTGGTACATTGTAAGCAGCTTCTGAAGATTTGGGAATGAAGTTTGGAATGTCTGCATGTCCAGAACTGAGTTTGTTTTTAGACAAGGTCTTTCTATGTAGACCAGAAGTTTAAGCAAGTACTCTATCACTAAGCTACATTCTCAGATCTTTTAAATGTTTTTATTTTGACACAATGTCTCACTAAGTTGTTCAAATTGGCCTGGAATTTGCAGTCCTGTCTCAGCCTCCCATGTAGCTGGGGTTACTCAGCTTCCTATTTCTTTCTCAAGAACAATATCTTTGCCTGCATCTTTGGATCCATGATAGCTCCAGAGGGCCAAAGGAAAATCAAGGGCTGGAAGTTCCATAGTAGTAGAACAACTAATTTCTAATGATTAAGTTGTTTAAAAGTTTTGTTGTTGTTTTAGGTGTCCAATCATAAAATGTGCTGGAGCAGTCTTGAATTTTCAAGGAACACTGCCGAGGCGATTCATGCATTGGATAACGGGTTGGACTGGGGAGCCTGAAAGGTCCTTTCCAATCCTAAAGCCCATGAAAATGCTGTCTACGTCAAGCATTATAGAAATGCAAAATAACTTTATTCACTTAATATGAAAAGAATTGAATTCGTGCTATTTAAATCCTGATAGGAAAAATACAGGGCTGCTAAATATAAATGAGATCCGAATATTAATGTAACTGAGTATGTTTCATTGTTGAATAGGAGTTGCTCTGGGCTGTCCCCTTTACTCCTCTCCCCTCCTCCCACCTCCCCAAAGAGTCAAGGACTTCTGTATTGTTTTATTCGTTTTCCACTTGTCTTTTTTTCTCCTGTTTCAAGCGCTCTGCAATTGATTTGTCTCCTTGTGTTCCTCAAAACTATTTATATATAGTTCCCCCATAACTGTTTATATAAATCAAAGCGGGTTCTCCCCCACACCCCAGGTTCTTTTGATTGTGGGTGTCGCCCACATAGGGTTGAAACATGAAACAAAGGAGCGCTGTCTTCGGTGGGTGGGCGTCTAGCTCACGCAGCAGCTCAAGCCCAGGAATGGTGGGACCTAACCTTGGTGCTAAGAGGCGGTTCCTTGCTCTTGGGAATGGAGGTCACTGCCCTGCCTCACCCCCCGAAATTGGATCTTAGCGCGTGTTATCTCTTTCTGGCTGAAGCTGCACGGTAGAAAGGAAGGGTGTCCCAACCAGGCAACGGGACATTTTCGGGACGATCTAGGAGAGATAGGGAGCGAAACTGGGACTGGGAAGCCCTTACTGAACGATCCTGGGAAAAGGCGCTGCTTGGTAGAGCAATACAAAATGAATGTGTACGTGGATAAAACTTATATCGCAGAGTTCAAGCGAGAGATGTATTTGCAATATTCCTGGCAAACACCAGCAAAAACCTGCGGAGGTAAGCAACACCCGCAAGAAAATTATTAGCCGAAGAGGAGGGGCCAACCGAAGAGAAGCTCAGCCTTTTAAAGCGCTCAGCGCCGTCACGTGACTGTCCTACCGCTCCCGCCCCTCCTGCCCTTCGGCCGCGGCGTCCTACGTCACTTCCGTCCAGGCCGGAAACCAAGATGGCGGCGCTCTTGTTGAGGTGACTTTAATTCGGGGCTGGGAGTCGGTGCCCGCAACCTTTGGGAGTCCTGAATTGGTCTCACACGTCTTGCCGACAGTGTTTTATCCTGTGCTCCGGCAAGGAAAGAACCCGTGGGTGATCAGGCCCGCGCTCTGGGATCCTAGGAGCCCCTCCTCTCCCCCAGCCGCTGCCGTGCGATTCCGCAGGGTTTCGAGGTCACTTATTCCGTACTCCGAGGTGGCGCGGTTGGCTCCTTTCCTGCCTCAACCACTTCTGAGCCTTCTCCGCCAAATTGCTCCTGTGGTCGCACCCAGAGCCGAGCTCTGTAAAAGTTGTTCTAATCTCGCGGTTAGCTAGCTGACCCTTGGACACAACTTGAAGGTCATATTTAGGACTTGCGCCAGGGTTTGTGGGCCGGGGGGTGGAGGAGTATCTTGTGGGCTTTGCCTTGTTTTTGCAAAAGCTAGCTGCTACTGGTAGTGAGTGGGGCCTGTGAGGTTCCTAACTGAGTACTGGTCGGGGGTGAAGGAAATCTCGATTCCCACCATATTTCAGCTGTCAGTTGGTCCCCTGCTGCTCCCCAGTTAATTCTTTGTTCTTTTTGAGACAGGGTCTTGCTATGCAGTTCAGTTCGGTCTTGAGCTCACTTTGTAGCTCAGGCTGACCTCAAACTCGTGACGATCCCCCTGCCTTAGCCTTCCAGGTGCTGGGTTTACAGGTGTGTACCACCATGCCTGGCGCAGTTAATTCATTTTTGTCTTTGTACCTGGGGTTAGAGAACCGTGGAGTTTGTGTCTCGCCTGCTTTGAAAAATTCAATTCAATGTCCAGAGAAATAGCCTGGATTTCCTTCCTGTCGTGCTGAACTCTCTAGGTCTCATTTTCTTCTCAGCCTTTCTAGTCCTAACGATTAGCGCCTTTCCACAATCCTGGTACACATCCCAGCATAGTTTTGTGCCAGCCCTATTTTTGGAAACTATTTGTTATGGAAAGTTAGACTCAGTGCTGTTGAGATTTCAGTCCTTGATTTCTCTAAATGTCTTTTCATTTCTCTTCCCAGTTTAGTTGCACAGTATAAAAATAGAAGGACTTTGTTTAGTTTTTCTCAGTGAAAAAATGATTTTTCTTGGAGTTGAAAACAGTGATCTTAATCCTTCATTTTCTCTTCCTCCTTCATCCTTCTATAAAGATACAGATATATCTTTTTTTCTAAGATGTACTGAGGCCATTTTTGCCAGACCTGCCTCCTTAAATTTCTGATGATTTTATCATAATTGAATATATTTCTGTTCTTTGACTTATATTTGGTAGATATTTGGGGCTTTTTAGAGGAAGTAACATTTAGCTTGAAACATGGGTTCCAAATGTTCTTTTTTTCTTTTATCCGCATTTTTGTGGGACTGAGGATCGAACACAGAGTTATTGCACTAAGCTATATCCCAGCCCTTTTTCAATTTTATAAATTTTGAGACAGGATCTAAGTTGCAGATTTGCCTGTCCTGGCCTCAAACTTGTGATTCTCTTGCTTCAAGGCTGGGCATACAGGTGTGTACCACCATGCTTGGTTAGTTCTGTTTTATGAGTTTGAGGATCAGTGTTTAGAAGATGAAGATCATTATACAGTTGCTCCTCTGCTCTATGAATTCAGCCCACCTCAGATGGAAATACTTGAAAAATAAGTTCCAAAAAGCAAAACTTGAATTTGCTACCAGCTAAGCATTACACTAAGTCCAAGAAAATGTTGCTATACCCTCTGTAGTCTCCCACTGTTTCACAGAGCCTTAGTCTCCAGCACCATATTGTTGGAGAATTATTTGCTTCACCTCATTTGTGTACTGTGTAGTTAGACCTGTAATTGGTTGTATCCGCACTGTATGTGTAGACTTTTTCCCCTGTCATTCTTTGAATAATATGGTATAACAACTGTATACAAGCACTTACGTTGTATTATAATCACTGATAATTAAAGTATGTGTGATAATCATTGAAAAATACAGCAAATATTTAAAAGTATTAGAGGCATTTAAAGACACATGCCATTAACCCATCTCAAAATCTTTAACTTTACTTTAAACACACCCAGTTGTTTCTGCCACTTTCTGAAGCACTTCCAAAAGTATCCTTAGGGTGCAGGGGAGATGGCTCAGTAGAATAAGCACTTGCCTGGCAAGTGCAAAGGTCTGAGTTCAATCCCTGGTTCTGTAAAAAAAAAAAAAAGTATCCTTAGTTGCATTACAAAATATCTTTAGTTGCAGTGTTATGGCTGCCTTGATGACCTGACTTGATTAAAAACATTTACCTTTTGTGGTTATTTTGAATTTGGGGAAGAGACAGAAGTCTCTGATAGATAAGGATGCACGGTATTATCTTTATGAAGTTGGTTTTTCATCAGATAGCGTTGAAGAGCAGCATTTGCTGTATTTTTGATAATATGTCTTAAGCAAAAGAGGACTCCAGAACTGCTTCAGAAAGTGGAAAAAACAGTGTGTTAGAAATGAAGGGGAGGCTCTTTGCTGTCCCCCCCCCCCAACTGTTGTTTTCTGCCATGTGCTGCTCTGCATTAGAGCCAGCTGAGTATTGACTGAAACTTCCACAAATTGAGCTAAATAAACCTTTTCTTTCAAAAAAAAAAAGGGGGGGGGGATATTTTGAGGGGCATTAATGGCCATGTGTCTTTTTTTTTTTTTTTTAATTTTTTTTTAAAATTTTATTTATTTGTGTGTGTGTGTGGCCAACTCAGTCCACCAGGGGGCGGGCTGGCCGGCATATGGTGCTGGGGGATCGAACCGTGGTCTCTGGGTTTTGCTAAAGCTTGCTCTAAGTAGGTGCATTAGACCACTGAGCCATCTCACCAGCCCCTGGCCATGTGTCTTTTATGTTAACAATTTCAAAAAAAATTTTTTTGTGGCAGCTCAGCCCACCTGGGGGCGGGGTAGCCAGGCATGTGGTGCAGGGCTTGAACTGAGGTCTCCTTTGCCTGCCTAAGCTTGCCTAAGCAGGCGTTTTAGACCACTGAGCTATCTCACGAGCCCTTTAAACGTATTTGGTACAAGGTCTCACTATGCAGTTTGGACTCATAGTGATCCTCCTGTTTTCAGCCTCTCCAGCGCTGGGATTACGGGCACATGCGCCACCATGCTAGGCCTCAGTGGCCAGCTCAGCATGTCTGGTGGTGAGACCAATGTGGCATATGGTGCTGGGGATCGAACCCTGGCCCCTGCGCTTGCCCTAAGCATGTGCTTAGTCTGTTGAGCTATCTTGCTGGCCCTAATGTAACAATTTTTTTTTTTTTTGCGGAACTGGGGATTGAACTCAGATCCTTGCGATTGCCAGTCAAGCGCTTATTGTAATGAGCCATTTCCCCGGCCCTGTAACAAATTTTTTAAAAAAAAAATTAAACATACCATATTTTTAAAATCAACCTTTGTAAATGTAAACACTGCTCTAGTTTATAGAAGGGAGTTTAGCATCCATAGATTTTGCTATCTGTGGGGGGAAGGAGGGTCCTGGGACTAATCCCTTGTGGCCAGCCATTAGGGGTATCAAGATATTATCACCTTGAGTTGTGTAGCACTGTCCACACTAGGACTCAGTGCCAAGTAAAGACTCATTTTTCCTTAGTGGTTATCTGAAGTTTTCACGGGAAGGGTCTGTCTTTTTATAAGGGTTTTACAGAAATATCTTGTGGCCCAATGTGGTGGCATGTGCCTGTAACCCCAATAGTCAGGAGGCCAAGGCAGGAGAATGCTTGCAATTTTGAAGCCAGCCTGGACTACAAAGTCAGTTCTTTCCAGCCTGAACTGCATTGTAAAACCCTTTCTCAAAAAGATGAAAGAAAAAAAGACCTTTTAAGAAGTATAGTTTTGCCGGGGAAATGGCTCAGTAGAGTAAGCGCTTCCCTGGCAAGCGCAGGGGCCTGAGTTCAATCCTCAGTTCTGCAAAAAAAAAAAAAAAAAAAAGTATAGTTTTTTTTTTTTTTTTTAGAAGTATAGTTTTAATGTCATGAATTTCACTTGTTTTGAATAAGTCAAGGTCTTTGATGCTATGAATGTGGTTGCTTTATTTCTGAGTTGAAAATATAATAATTAGGACCATTTAAGAGAAATAGTGGGTCTTTGTAAAAAGTATTTAATTGTAACTGACAAAAATTATATATATTGTTTACAACATGCTGTTTCAAAGTAGGTATACAGTTGCTTCTAAGTGTTATCCCCATACTTATTTTTTGGGGTCTTGAGAACACTTGAATTCTCTCATATGTAATATTGTTTCACTATTATGAAACACTGCACAATATGTGTATACTGAAACATTACATGATATCCCATTAATATGTATAATTTTTATGATTTATGTAGTCATTAAAAATTGAAAATCACCAGCTGGGTGTGGTGGCATACACCTGTAATCCCAGCACTCAGAAGGTTGGGGCAGGAGGATTGCCAAAAGTTAAAGGCCAGCCTGGGCTACATAGTAAATTCAAAGCTACCCTCAACTATGTAGCAGAGGCATAATCTCAAAAAACAAAAACCAAAGCCATGGTGTACAATAGCCTGCTTGAGCTAATCCTTGTGTTTAACTGGAATATATACTGTGACCAATATCTCCCTAAACTAGCCTCCTGGTTAAACACTTTTAATGATTTGCTAATTAAAAAATTATTAGTTACCAGAGCTTGTGTATCATGGCTTTTGAATAGTGCTCTGTATTTTGTATGTTCCTTAAGCAGCTCAGTGACCAGCCAGGGATGAACAGCAGCCAGGTTACACAAACTCCCTTGGTGCTTTATCAAGGAATGGCTTGCCAAAGTCAAGAAGGAATAACAAAGCAAGGGACAGCAGGGCTTCTAAGAATGTATGTACTGTCAAAGCACAAAGTCACCAACAGTTAACTATCTTATAATAATGTAAACTATTATAAATACCTCTGAAAAGTGAAATTAAACTCAATTACTCAGTTACCCTCAAGCTCAGAGTGCTTGCTTCAACAGCGCATATACTAAAATTGGAATGATACAGAGAAGATTAGCATGGCCCCTGTGCAAGGATAACACATAAAATAAGCTCAGAGTAGAGCCTTGCTCAACATGTAAGAAGCTTTGGATTTGATCCCCAGCACCAAAACAAAGCAAAAACCCATACTCGCTAGGCTTAGGGTACATGCCCATAGTCCCAGTACTCAGGAGGCTGAGGCAGGAGGATCACTGAACTTGAGGCCAGCCTGAACCACATAGTGAGTTCGAGGACAGCCTGAACTACATAGTGAGAACCTGTCTCAAAAAATAAAAAACTCATACTCATTCATTATCATTTTGCAACCTCTTCTGTGTGTCAGACATTATTATAGGCATTGTAAATGCAGTGTTCCAGTCCTACCCTCAAGCTCAAAGTCTAGCAGGACAGATAACTAGGTGAATTATTAAACAACATACTGCTGATACAAAGATATGAACAAGTGGGAAGCATGGCAGACACAGCAAGTTACACTGAAAAAAATGGTGAGTTGGACATCAGGAGTTTGATTTTTTTTTTAAATTTTTTTTTTATTTATTTGAGAGAGAGAGAGAGAGAGAGAGAGAGGTGTGTGTGTGTGTGGCCAGCTCAGCCCACCAGGGGGCGGGGCTGGCTGGCATGTGGTGCTGGGGGATTGAACCGCGGTCCCTGATGCTTTGCTAAGCTTGTTCTAAGTAGGTGCTTTAGACCACTGAGCCATCTCTCCAGCCCAGGAGTTTGATTTTGAAGGATCTTTTCAAACAATTTCCATCAGAACAATGAGCATAAGCATGCAAATGCATGCTCTGTCTATAAATGATTCCTCTTCAGCGTGTCATTCAAGGTTATATATTCTTGTTTTGACTCAGACATTTATGAAACTTTTGGGATGTCATTGGTTAAATTTAGCAGTCATGTGAGCAAACTCATTTATATTATAGTAGCATCTTGTTTTGGACTAAAAATAGTATTTAATTTGGTCATGTAGACATGTAGACTTGGGTTTTTTTTTTTTTTTTTTTTTTTTTTTTGTGGAACCAGGGATTGAACTCAGGCTCTTGTGCTTGCCAGGGAAGCACTTATTCTACTGAGCCATCTCCCCGGCTAGACTTGGCTTGAATGACTTTCCCCCCACCCCAAAAGTCAAATCCATTTTCTGCAGATGAATATGTTCTGAGGGTTTAAAGAAGAATGTGATGTGAATTCTAAAGGCCCTAGGGAGATTCATACATAGTAGTATCTTACATGTAATGTGATCCTGTGCATTTTCATATTAATCCTCCCTATACCAATAAGGCATACCTTAGTCTCATTTTATGTATGGAAAAGCTGAAGTTTAGTGACTCCCTCAAGTTATACAATTCATGCAGGTCTAAGACTTTATTGTGGTCTTTATTTTTACTTTCCAGTGTTCTTTCCTAATACTATAGCTGTCCTAATCCAAAATGATGAAAATGATTAGACAGTTTGGGGGAGACATAATACATTTTGAAAGGTAAAATACTAAAATTAAGAAATGATGAAAGGGACAGTGCTAACTGGAAATTATAGGTTCCGAGTTTAAAGAAGGAGATGGAAGGAGAAGGTAGAGAGGATAGGGAAAATAAATAAGCAACAAAAAGAACCAGCAAAAAAACAAAACCCAAAAGACTGGGTGCAGTGACACACTTATAATCCAAGAATTTAGTATACTGATGCAGGAGATTCTGAGAGTTTGAGGCCAACGTGGGGCACACAAAGAATTAAAGTGTTTGGATTGCACAGAGACAAAAAAAATTACTATCTAGCCATAACATTCTTTTTTTCCCATAATTTTATTGAGAGACAAATAGCAATGAGACAGTTTCAAATCAAATTGGTATGACAGTTTCAATAGTTAACACATTGCATACTCTCTTCCTAGTGGTTATTTGCTGTACAAGATGTGGACATGATATCTATTTACAAATACTATTACAACAAATCCCTCTATTCATTAAGAGAATGTAACTATATATCTGTCCTAGCCACTTTGAACACACAGATACAAAATGGACATTCATCTGTATTCCCTTTTTTGTTTAGTTCCAACATTTGAATATTATAGGTCATAACATTTTAAGTACAATTCCTTACTGAAAAAAGTAAAATCTCAGAACTCAATTTTAACCAGGAAAAGAGTAGATATTTCCTTTTTTTATATTTCAAATAAGGTTGTAGGGTTTGTGCAACTCGTTTCTGTAAGGGTCTGTGGAAAGCTTACATTGATACTTGTCTGGAAAACAATAGCACTAGACAGAATTTTCCATAGATTCCAACCCACATCTACAAACTCTTGCTGGGTAGCTGAGTAACTGGGCCTAGCCTGGTGTGAGGAATGCATCCCCTGCAACTTCAGAGACAATTCAGTTGATTAAAGAGATTTGTTCCCACTTCTTTCTGGGAATCTTGGGTATACAATGTCTGTATTCACCTCTTGCCTTCCAAAGCTGGAAAGAAGGCAAAACTGGATTTTGAAGGCAGTGTTGGTTGGATTTTTCCTTTCAAATTGTTGTAAAGTATATGACTCTTGAAATATTGAGTATCAGTGATACAAGGGATATCTTGTGCTTGCTTGCTTATTTATTTAGTTAACTTTTTTTGAGACAGGGTATTGGGATGTATTTCAGCCTGGTTTTGAGCACAGATTGGCATCAAACTTGTGGCAGGCTCATGCTACACACCCAGCTTATGAGCTGTTTAGAAGATAATTGTATCAACATGAGACTGTGTTCCTATAGTTTTTGCTGATACATGATGGATGTACAGTAAACTTTTGTAGAATCAACAAAGTTTTGTTACTTTTAAACCATCACTGTGATAACCTTCATTAATTTTAGAAGGATTTGATATAATGACATGACTTAAGGCTTTATGTTTTTCTTCATACAACATAAATTTTGGGTCAGTTTAATTAACCTTAATAAAATGCCTTGTTACATGTCACTTTTTGACTTCAAAAGTAGAGGCTGAGTCAGAAGAATTGCAGTGAGTTTGAGAGCAGCCTGGGCTACATAATTCAAGGAAAGGCCAGGTTGACCTACATAGCTAGACCCTGTCTCAAAAAAACAAAACAAAACGAACAAATTCTGGCACTAACATGTACATGTCAGAAATACCAACTTTTTTTAAGTAGAAAATTTACATAGCCTCTTTACATACCTTTTCATGGGAGTATAAAAAATTCCTTGTACTATTACATAGAGACTTTTTGACTTCAAGTTCATTCATGTTGTCTGGACCTGCTGGTGGTTCCTGAAATTACCTGGCATAGTAATAGAACCCTCCTTCTGCAGATCCCTTGTTCTACAAATTTTAATCTGTTTACAGCAGGTCCCTGCTGTAGCTAAACTACATCTTTGCTGTCATCAGTGCTGTACTTTGGTTTTTGTTTGTTTTCAGTTTGTGTTTTGTTTTTGGTTTTGTTTTTGTTTTTGACAGTTTTGGGAATTAAACCCTAGGCCTCATTCATGCAAAGCAAGCACTGTACACTGAGCTACAGAGTCAGCCATCATTTTAAATCTATTCCTGTAAGCCTAAATCCAATATACTAAAAAAAAATGGCAAATTTGATATACTGAGGTTGTCTTTGAATATGTATTGATTCTTTGCTCTTACCTTTCAGACATGCTGGCCGTCATTGCCTCCGTTCCCACCTGAGTCCTCGGCTCTTTATCAGAAAGTAAGTTTCTAAGTCTGTGGATACTGTTATTATTTAACTTGGTTTTTTTAGGGAAGAGCAATAGATTGTTAATTTAGGTTGGAGGATTTGTAGATAGTTGGCAAATGTTCTACCATTGAGCTACACAGTAGCCCCCACTTTTTCTGTCTGGTCTAGGAAAGAAGGGTACTTATTTGATCTTTTAAAAATTTTCTTCTTTGAACATTTTTTTTTTTTTTTTTTTTTTTTTCTGTTTGTCCCTATCAATTTGCTCTGGGTTCTTGATTCTTACTTTGATACCTAATTCTCATCTATTTCTTTTCCCTTTTAATTTTTATTTATTTATTTTTATTTTAGGGAATGGTCTCCAGGGTGTTCAGGGTCTCACTCCTAGATCAGACTCGTAGTGATCCACCTGTTTACAGCCTCCTAAGAGGTGGGATTACAGGCATGGGCCACCACGCCCAATCTCAATTGCTGTCTCAATGCACCCTGGGGGAGGGGGGGGCTGGCAAGGCAGGCCAGGGGATCAAAGTCCTGGCCCCTGCACCTGCTTTAATCCACCAAGCTATTTGGTTGGGCCCCAGTGTTTTTTATTTGGTGGCCCAGGCTGCCAGAAGGGGGTAGTCTGGTCAGGTAGGTGGAGGTGGGGATTGAACTGTAGTATCCTGTGCCTGTGTTTTGCATGAGCAGGTGCTTAAACACCTGAGCTAACCAGCAGGCCCCCTGGTTTTTTTTTTTTTTTAACCCTCTAATTTTAGGCTGTTTTAGGGCTTAGGTTTAAATGTATTTCTTTCTGCTTGATATTCACTCCTAGTTTATTGACCTTAACAAATTACCTTTAAGTTTTTTTCTTGAACTTTTTATTTTGGAAACATTTTATACTTTCAGAGAAGATGTAAGAACTACTGATAAAGTTCTGTGAAAAAAAATTCTTTTTTTTTTTTGCGGAACCGGGGATTGAACTCAGGCTCTTGCGCTTGCCAGGGAAGCACTTATTCTACTGAGCCATCTCCCCGGCCCTGGAAAAAAAATTCTATGTATCTTTTACCCAGATTCATCAATTATTAACATTTTGCTGTGTACTTAGCACACTGTTGGTTGTACTGTATGAAATTGTTGTTTTTGTAGGCCAAATTTGGTTGAATATTGGACAATGTAGTGTGGCTTAGCCTAATATGTACTTGCTATTATATTCACTAAGTTCTTTGAGAGTAGCTTGTACAAATCATGATCTTTTACTGCTAAATCTCCTAAAAATAATCACATAATGCAGTATAATTTTAAAGCATAATTATCAAGTTCAGAAATTTAAATATTAGCAAACTTCTTTTTAACAAACTCTTACCTGGTATGTAGTTGATTTTGAGAATTTCTTTGTCCCAAATAATATATTTTATAGAAATACAATC